GTTTAATGTGCACTTCTCGTGCTGTGTTTTGTTTAGCTCTTATGGTGATTTATTTGGAGTGAAAAAGGACGCAATAAACTTAAAACATCAGTAAAGTTTTGGTCATCATTCAGATGAGGTTCGCTACAATTGCGAAAGTTGTTACACTTCTAAAAACGGTGTTCAATCACCGTTTAAAACAATTATAATTTCCACATATGTACAGGAGTCTATTATGGAAGCCCATTTCCGCCACTAAATAAAAAAATTTAAAAAGGTAATTGCGACTTTTTAGCTCAGACTTTTTCTCGCAATTGCAAGTTTTTCTCAGAATTGTGACTTCATAACTTGCAATTGCGAGTTTATATCTCACACTTCTGAGAAAAGAAGTCAGAATTGCAGGATATCAATTCTGAATTGTGAGATGTAAACTCGAAATTGCAAGGAAAAAAGGCAGAATTCTGAGTTTATATCTCGCAATTCTGAATTTCTATTTAAAAAAAATTATAATTTCCACATATGTACAGGAGTCTATTATGGAAGCCCATTTCCGCCACTAAATAAAAAAATTTAAAAAGGTAATTGCGACTTTTTAGCTCAGACTTTTTCTCGCAATTGTAAGTTTTTCTCAGAATTGTGACTTCATAACTTGCAATTGCGAGTTTATATCTCACACTTCTGAGAAAAGAAGTCAGAATTGCAGGATATCAATTCTGAATTGTGAGATGTAAACTCGAAATTGCAAGGAAAAAAGGCAGAATTCTGAGTTTATATCTCGCAATTCTGAATTTCTTAGAATTGCAAGAAAGTAAAAATTCTGAAATATACACTCGGAACTGCAAGAAGAGAAGTCAGAATTGTGACAATTACCTTTTTTGTATCTCTTTGCGGAAATGGGCTTCCACAGTCTTTACTACTTAATCATTATTTTTGAAATATTAATAATAAAAAAAAAAACTTTCCCCCTTTAAACTAGACTCACATAATTCTAGACTCTAAATTTCACATAATATAATATGCCTAATATAATATAATAATGCCTAATATAATAATGTGATATAACAATCAAGCATACTTAGAAAAGCAAAGCATATTTCTTAGACAACTTCAGCCTTAAATTTCAGTTTGTGATCAAGGGCAAACAAAAAAGGGAAGGGAGGACTTCATGGAAAAACAGAAATATAACAAGAATTTTAAGCACAAACAACACGCCATGTACGTTCATTTCCTTATTTTCATTCACCAGTGTCCATATCTGTCACTACAGGTGAGATTCACTTGTATTTAAACCACATCCATATCACAACACTCCCTTATCTGACCAAGCGTGTAAAGGCAGCAGCTCTAAACTGGGTGTGCCTCACACGTCCTAAAAAGTGAAGCTGTGAACTCTTTGATCGCCCCCTGGTGGCTGGCTGCAATACAGGTAATAAACCCCGCCCTCTCCATGTAAACGAATGGGACTTGAGTCAAAATAAAAAAATTAATTACACTTCCAATACAATTTTCCGAAATATGGTTTTGGTCATTTAAGGTAGTTGTTATCACGCTGATATATGTTCAATTGTTCGTTTTGTGATAAGTTTGATTTTAGCTAGTAATTTGATGCTATAAAAACAGGGCGTGTCGTTATGGTTGATTGGGTCTGCGGGAGTTTGATACCGCGGCTCCAACCCACAACACTACTGCGCAGACTCTGGCTCCCGAAACTCTACTGCGCAGACTCTGGCTCCAACTGACGTCATTTACTCAAGATGACAGCGGCCATACTGAGATGCTTTGGCTTCACTTTTCTATAGTGGAAGGAAGTGGAGACGCGTCATCCATCTTTTTTTACAGTCTATGCTCTAAACACACTAATCTGGTCAGTCCCTCACCTAGATTTGGAATACTGTACGAGCTTCTGGATATCTACCTCCTGTTTCAATAGGTTTCCAAACAATGACTGAAGTTTGCTGGAGACCCCCCCCCCCTACATTAATGTCCCCAGCCCCAAGTTCTGCTGCAACACTTCCACTTTTGTTATCCACAACTTTGCCATTATAGATCAAAAAGTCTGTTTCAACCACAAATGTGGACAAAAATAACAATGTATATCAGCTCTCCTGAACACATAACACCTTGTTAAACACAAAACCACCTGATTTTAAAAAGAGTTTAACTCACAAACCATTTTGGGAACAATTTTCACATAGATAACATGATACTACAGTCCCTTGAGAACAAGAAATGTACTTAATTGAATGAAATGTGCACTTGTAGTGTACTTCAAACCATAAAAAATAAAAAAACTGTGCAGATAATATAACATTTTACGTAAAGAGAACATGTTTCTTAAAGTCCCCCTGTAGTGAAAATGAAGTTTTTTTATGTTATGTCGTTCTTTATGGTGTTTTTAATATGCTTTTAGACAAACCCTGTGCCAATCTATTAATTAACATCATTGCTGAGTATTTTCTCCTTAAAACTGTAGTTTCCCAGTGGCAGTCCAAGAATTTGTGATGGCGCCGACGCTGATGGCTGCCTCCGTCACGTGCTCCGCAGTTGTTTTTATGTTTTTGTTAGTTTGTCCTGTCTTTAGTAATATCCCTGCAATCAGTTTCACCAGAGACAAATTGCTGGACATTCGGAAGTACACACCACCTGATATTTCACTGGTTTTCGATTGTTCTGATGTTTTGCTGGACATTGTAGTCGGGGGAGCAGCGGCGCTGTTCAGGCGCTTCAGGACGCACAGACGGGGGAAGCGAGCCGGCGCCCTCGTCAAGCTCAGGCAGCACGGATTCAGAACGCCGTTGCCTAGCATCCATCTGGCGAACCTCCGCTCTCTACCCAACAAAATGGACAAACTCCTTCTGCTCTCCCGGACAAATAAGGATTTTTCAAACTCTGCTGCTCTGTGTTTCACGGAAACCTGGCTGAAAGACGCCATTCCGGACAGCGCGTTGAGTCTGCCGGGCTTTCAGCTGTTCAGAGCAGATCGCGACGCAGAATCAAC